CAGATCTGGCCTCATGTCTTCTTTTATTAGCAAAACCAGAAATGCTGCACCATGAAATGGAGGGGCCTCATTGTTAGGCTGCAGGCATCTGCAGTGAAGGCTCAAAACCCATTTATAGGTGCTGATTAGCAAGGACTATCATCACTCTTCCCGCTGAGTTTGGAACTGTCGAAGGGGAAGTATCTGGGCAGCTTCCACCACCTGATTATTTACAAGAGCTGAAATGTATCCACTCCTAACCCCCCTTCTTCTGCGTGGAGGGAAAACACCTCCCTGGGGACTTGCATCTGCAGAAATGGTAAAACCACTTTATGCATCTCCCTGTGGAGCTTCCTGTACCACCAGCTGATAATATAGGAGATCTTAGTTCAGCTAGCTCAGGGGAGAAAGACACGGTATTGCCATTAAACCACTATTGCCGTTCTTATTTTTCAGCCTACAAGGAGAAAATGAAGGAGCTGTCTCTGCTCTCCCTGATCTGCTCCTGTTTCCACACCCAGCCGCACCCCAATACCATCTATCAATATGGAGGTAAGCGACTCATGCAGACACAACCTGCCAAGTCCATTATGGAGCTGTTCTGCAGGCAGCTGCTGCAAACTTGGGAGTGCCTCAGTCCATTAGGCTGGGCCCAGTCTGGGGAGAGTGTTTTCCCCCAAGTTTCGGTATTACTGGCCTTTGATCTTTGACCCACATTCACCTACTAGGAAACTCTGTGCGTTACCAAAGAGTGCTGTCACTTATCTAGGCTAGGAGTGTAGATGTTATCAGCAGTTCAGCATTTCTGGGTTGTCTTCAGCCATGGTCTGCTTATTATTGGGATGTAAAAGAAATTGTATTAGCTAGTGAGAATTTGAAGCCAGTCATTTGTTGCTGGTAAAAGGGACAATAACAATGCAGAACCGGGAGAAGGAGCATCATTGTCAATGTTACAGCAATAGGTTTGTCAGGCAGTTGAGGAATCCAGTTGACAGTGCAGGGGGGAATCTAGGGGGGCAGGATGAAATCCTGCTGGGTCACTGGAATTAACACCCTTACACTTATGAAAAGAACCGTAACACTTTTAATAACCCGATGTGGTCAATACCTGGGTTTTACATTCTGTCTGAAAGGAAAGATCCAGCAGCAGAGTTGTTTTCTGTGTACATGCAGGGACTTTACACAGAAAATGGATAAAGAAGTGGAGCAACAGTACTGGAGATACAGAGGTCAGGGAGAAACTTCCCACTGAATGTAATAAGAGCTTAACAGAGATACATATGGGCCTTGATGCAATGAAGGCAATCAGATCAGGCTCATGGTGGAAAGAAGGTTCTCTGTGCTCCCACGGTAATCCCTCTGAATCTCTCCAGGTGAGGCTGCAGTGACAGGACACTTAACCAGTAAAGTCCTGTCTGGAAGTACGGTATCATCACAACCAGCTCATATTGGGTGAACTAAGTTCAGGGCATGATTTAGCAGCTTCTGAAAGGTGCCGTAGCTTTGCCCTGGGTGTCCCACAGCCTGTGACAATGCTCATGTTCTTCTCACAAAGATATGGAAGTGAAGCAGCTGGACAAGAGGGCGTCTGGCCAGAGCTTCGAAGTGATCCTGAAGTCCCCTTCGGACTTATCCCCTGAGAGCCCAATCCTGTCCTCTCCCCCCAAGAAGAAGGATCTGTCTCTGGAGGAGCTTCAGAGGAGGCTGGAGGCTGCAGAGGAAAGGAGGAAGGTAAGAGGATATTCTAGGGACATGCTCACGCTGATATATGTGCCCAGTCATGCTTTAAGCAAGCCCTAAAATCAGTCCCATGTTATCACTGAGGAGAAGAAAGAACCCTGAAGCAAAACATGTTGTTGGGGGAGACTGGTGCTTTTGGTAATACTTAGGAGCCGGGCAGTGCGGTTGGAAAGTGTTTTCCTACATAGTCTTGTTCAGTGCAAGTAGTAGAAGTCACTTCTGGCCTGTGTTATAGCAGAGGTCAGGCTAGATCATCACAAGTTCCCTGGTGACCTTAAAAATGCACGGGTCTGTTGAATTCTTTGGTCCTTCCATTTAGTGTCTCTCAGTACATTACACAGGTGATACACGGGGTGCTATTACAAGCACGGGAGACAGAACAAAAAGCCAAGCATCTAAACAGAGCTTAGAATCAGTGCCTCGCTATTTCATTGCTTTTTAGTGACTGGCAATGCTGTTTTCACATTCCATTTATGAGCATATTTAAAAATCTTTTGAAGAAAAAGTGTTGGGAAACTAGAGGCACTTCAGAGAAAAACAAATCACAGTGCTGTGGGTGGGTAAGAGGAAAAGAAGTTAAAGAGGTTCAAAACATTAGGCAGACTGCCTGCTTGCAAACTTCACTCCCCATCCTGTGCACGCAGCAGTCATTGAATATCACTAGCTGCCTGCCTGCATTAGAGCTTTGAAAATCCAGCCCATGTGGTCTAGAATAGAAAAGTTTCATGGGGCAGAAAGACCATGAGTGCGGTGTGTAACTACCACTGACGCACTGGTTAATGAATGGAGAGGGTTGGCCTCCTGAGCATGACATCCTTGGAAAGGGGGCAACAGCTGAGACCAGAGGAAGGGTGGATTAGTTCAGATACCAAGTGCAAATCCTGCAAGTGAGTAGCTAGCTTGTGCACAGACTAGCAAGGAGCGTGTTCATGTCACCTCTGTGGAGATGTCCAAGATCAGATCAAGGAAAGTGAGAAGGGTTTTTTCCCCTCCCATCCTCCCCCCACCCCCTGATCTGTTGGTTTCCTACAGACCCAGGAGGCCCAAGTGCTGAAGCAGCTGGCGGAGAAACGGGAGCATGAGCGGGAGGTGCTGCACAAGGCCCTGGAGGAGAACAACAACTTCAGCCGGCTGGCTGAGGAGAAGCTCAACTACAAGATGGAGCTGAGCAGGGAGATCCGTGAAGCACACCTAGCTGCCTTGAGGGAGCGACTCCGTGAGAAGGCAAGTGCTAGTCTCCCCCACCCACATACCATGTCCCAACACCTCTAGGGCCAGGAATCCCTGCTTAGGGTATAAGGGTTGCTGGTGCCAGCATATGTAGCCAGGCTTGCTCACCCCGATAGAGCTGGGATGTTCGCATTGGAGCAGCACTCCCGGAACAATTTGCTTTTCTTGTCCCACCATTTTCCCAAGTTCATACAGCCTTCCCCTTTGCAGGTATGCAGCGTCAAGTTACAATGCCCAGCTCTCCAGTTGCAGCAAGGGAAATTGAGGTTGAATATTAGGGAAAACTTTCTCACAAGGAGGGCTGTAAAGCACTAGAAGAGGTTACCCACAGGGGTGCTTGAATCTCCATCCTTGCGAGTTTTTAAGACCCGGGTGGACAGAGCTTTGGCTGGGATGGTGTAGTTGGGGCTGGTCCTGCTTTGAGCAGGGGGTTGGACTAGATGTGACCTCCTGAGGTCCCTTCCAACTCTCATTTTCTCTGAGTCCCTGGACACCCCCACTCCATTGCTTGCTTTCTTTTCTTTTGGTCGTTTGCTGCTGCACATTGTTCTGCTGTGTTTCTTAAAGGGGAAGGGACTCTGTTTGATATGTACGTGTCCGCTTCAGCCACGTCTGACAGCTCGCTCAGAGCAAATATTCTCTAGCAGGTGAGGTGGGCAGGAGGTGTCCATGGCATCTGTGTAGAGGCTTCCTCATCTTTGTTGAGCCCGATGTGCCAGAGACCAAAGGCAGCAGCAAACTTGAGCCTCCTATCCTGCACTCTGGAGCGTGGATTTCCTGTCTTCTGGTCCCCAGGCACCACTGCTTTGTCTGGCCCCAGTGTAAGGAGGCTGGTGTCTGTGAGGGGCTCCCTAATGAGACAGCTTCAGCCAGCTCTGGAGCATGTGCTGCAGACGTATTCACAGACTTGTGCGATGCACCTGGTCACCTTCACTGTGCCAAGGACAGGGCTAAACTTATCCCAGGGGCAACTCCTGTGATATCAGCAGAGCTCTGCCAACTATGAACTTGACCTAGTGTATTTTTCTTAATTAGTGCAAGGCCTTTGAGGAGCAGGAGAGGAACAGATGGAAATACAACAGCAAAAACTAGCGCTGTAGGTGAAACTGAGGGGAGATGGGAAACAGCTTCTGGATTGCCCTGCTCAGCCTGCGGACTCCATAATGCTTTCTGTGTCTTTGCAGGAACTGCATGCAGCTGAGGTTCGCAGGAACAAGGAACAGCGGGAGGAGATCTCTGGATAAAGGGCTTTTCTACACATCTAGCACATGATTCCTGATAACAAACCAACCAACCCAACACATTTTATTTTGTTTGTCTAGATGCAACATTTGGTTTGCCATTTCCTCCTGGTGTTAGTTCCCCAGCTACACGCTTCTCTCTCTCTCTCTCTGCATCCTTAACTGTTCAGTACTTGTGGGGACTCACAGGCCATAGGGACCTCTAAGCAGAGTAGCAACTAGTTCACATGAAATATAGAATCAAACAATTAACCAGTCAATCAGCTTCTCTTTGGGGTTTTGTCCTTTTTTAAAATATCTTTCTTAAACTGATGTAAAGGATTAAGATATTAATAAATTCAACCAGCAGTGTCATGGATGGAGATGCGGATTTCTTATCCAGGGCTTTTGGTTTGTGCTTTGAGCCAGATAGCAGTTGAAAAAACAAAAGGGAGTAAACAGTGAAGGGTACATTGTTGTGAGAGGGGGTCATTGATGGATCCATTGCTTTTAGTGGTAGGAGAAGGGCTAGGAGGAGGCTGGGATGGCTCAGGGAATGGGTTAGGGTGTGCCGAATCTTTAAGCTGTAGGTCGCTGGTTTGAAGCTAGCCCAGGTAGATAGTAACTTGAAGTCATTGTCCTCTGGTTCTTTGGTAACCCAGGTGCAATTAGCTAAGGGTCTGAGACTAGAGCCTGGTGGACAGGTGCCCACATCACAAGAAGCACTAGTTGATATCCTGGATGGCTACAGATTGAATGAGCCTGGAGACTGAACAGCCCTCTCACTGGTAGAGGCAGTGCTGAGGAGGCTTGTACTGCCACTGTCCATTGCGAACCCAGTGTTGCGGTTAAAGAGGGGGCACAGTCTCCAGGGTGGTCAATCCTGCACTTTTCACAAACACTAAATTTCACACCATTAATTAAAAAGTAAAACAGAGCGCACAATTGTCAGGCAGCTCATGACCTTTAGCAAAACTCTGTGATATGGGAGACTCATCTTTCTCTCTTCCCAAAGATGGATGAGACTCTTCAGTACTATTCCAGGAGAGACGTTTGAACCAAAGATCACAGGTTAACCACAGAGCTGTGGTTCTTGGGCAGCAGATTATAGGAAAGGACACAGCGATCCTTTCAGTGGTATTTCCAGAACTGCAGCTTTGGAGAAGGTGGGGTAGGAAGGGAGACTGGAGGAGTGGGAGGACAGGAGGAGTGAAGAGATGTTCATGCACCTGCTGCTTGTCTAGCCATGGAGGTAGAATTGCAAGGCTTTAATTCTTCTAGCTCTGACTTCCAAAGCCCACTTTAAGGCAGCTGTGTCTCTTCCTAGAAGTAAGGATGAATGGATTGCAGCGGTGCTTGGAGGCAGGGGGCAGAAACCTCTTCCTTTCAGATAGCTGGTAATAATTCCTGATGTAAACGGAGAGCTACAGCAGCCTGTGGGCTCTCTTCCCGTCTTACATCATGGTGTATGCCGACAGAGGTAGCTGAATCAGAGGACGTGCCAAACAGTGAGGAGGCTGCTATTGCATCCCATGGATCAAAAGGGTGGCAGACTTTTAATGCTAGCACTGGATCTGGCCTGATAACCTGGTTGGCAATTGTATGCCTATGTCTAAAGTGCAAGGAGTTGCCATCTTAACCCTAGTGAAGCCTCTTGAGAGAGGATGTTCAGGCAGGACTTGGCTTTCGCAGGAACACCCTCTCCTGGCAGGATTTCACTGAGGAGAACATTGCAACTCTTGCATTTTGGACCACTGAGTAGCAAAGAGTCCTCTCCTTCCAACTCTGACAGCACACCAGTACCTGTCTTCCCAACTCGTGAGGCATTTCCAGGGCAAGGTAGCAGGGTGCTTGGAGCAGGGATGTAGGCACAGATACAGGAAGGACTCCAGGGCTGATCCTCACCCTCACTGTACCACAAACTTCCCTTTCTCTGTGGCCATACCGGATGCTATTTGGGAACCCAGAGCGAGCCAAGGAACAAGAGTGGACTGTTATTGTGACGGGTGTCCTCTCTGCATACTGTCTCCAAAGAGCCTCTCTGCAGCCGAGTCCTGCAGCTCCTCCAGGGGGGCTCTGTGGAGCCAGCATCACCAGGAATAGCTTATGCAAACAGCTAGGACACAGCAGGCATGGGTGGGCACTTAGGCAGTTGCCTTTCTCATTCCTGGCAGCTGTGTGGCTTGGGCTGTGTAGGGCGTGCTCCAAGTCAGAGGTGGGGTAAGCAGATGTGAAACACCATTTAGCCCACAGGAGCCAGGTAGTGACAGGAAGCCAGGGCAGGCGGGGAGTCCGTATCTGGTGTCGAGCTTCCCTTTGCCTCCCTGGCCTGTCTAAATAATAGTTGCTGAGTCGGTTCCAAGCTGTCGGTTTTCCTTCTACCGTGTGCTGGCTGCGTGTCAGGAATCTCCCCCACCCTCCTCGACTGTCACAAGAACGCAACAGCGCGCCAAAGAGGCAGCAGCAGCAGCTGCTGGAAGCAAAGCCCCTAGCCTCTTGCTAGTCAGCCACACAATACGTTCCCCTTTTAATGAGAGAAGGTCCCTCTCTGGCCACGAGGCTTTGGATATTAGGGGAGAGCTCTGCTCCAAAATGGAAGGGCTAGCTTACCTATAAAGCCCTCTGCCAAGGTCCGAGGGAGGGCAGGACTGTTATCAGGCGTCAGCAGTGTTGAGGGACAAGAAGTGAGTTTGGGGCAGGGAGGGGAAAAAGAAAAAGAAACTGAGGGTTGAATTTCTTAACAGTAGCTAATGATCAGTTTATAAGTAGCAGCTGTCTTAGATAAGCATCTGTGTAGAATGCAGAATCATCTCATCCATATAGTGACAATAAATTTTAAAAAGTTTAAAAAAATAATTAAAAAAGTAATTTAAATAAAATGTTTGTGTGTAAGAAATGGTTGAAAATGTCAAATGTCTGTGTCCCACGCCGGTGGGATCTGAGAAGGTGTCTGCCAGATATTAACCCTGTCCTACTCTGTGGTGCTGAGTGTTTGCTTGGTGTGTAATACTGACCTGGAGCTTGTTGTAAATACTGTTTTTAGTACTATGATTATTAATTATGATGATGACGATGATCACAAATGTTGTACTCATAAGCAGGAGTTTGAAACAAACACAAAGAAACAACCATTTTCACTCCGATTCTCCAGTGAGGCTCAAATGAACCTGGAGGCAGGGCCAGATTAAGGTAGGATGTCTTTGTCCTTGAGCTCAGAGTGAGCAGGGGGTCAGAGAGGCAAGTGGCAGCCTAGCGCAGAGCTGACCATCGCCTCTTGAGGTGGCTGGACTGCTTCATATGGAAGGCAAAGCAAGGGCTTAGAAATAGCGGGGAGACAGGGGTCCTTCAGGCAGGGAGGATGGGAACTGGGAGAGTGAATTCAAGGAGTGGAGGGGAAAGGAGGGCTGGGAGAGATCTAAAACTGGGGCAGATGCCCTGGAGCCCTAAATTTGGGGTGCAGTTTTAGTGTTAGGCCACTCCTGCTTGGAGGCAGCAATCTGCTCTGTTTCCTGTTACCATAGAACAAGGCTGACAAAAGTGGAGGATTTTGCATGCAGTATGGGAGAAAGCGGCGGGTGGCAGATCGTGCTTGCTTGAAACCTTTCCCTTACCTGTATGGTTACAGGGTCCCAGGACTTTTGTCTCTGCTTCTTACTTTCCATCTCAGGCGCTTGTGGTTAAGCTGGCAGTCCAAATCCAGCTAGTGGTACCCTCCACATAGCTGCAGGCCAGCCTTGATTTCAGGTGGAGACCTATTCTTGCACTCACAGTGGTGTTGCATGAAAGGATGATCTGGAAAGTTAGGACCCCAGGGACCAGTGCTCCTGCAGATCTAAGGGAACCCCGTTTTCCTCCCCTCCACCCCATCGGTGCTGTAAGGTGCAGTGGACGTATCTGGAGAATGCACTAGTGCAGGGTAAAACGTTGCATCAGGTAGAGAAACAGGGTTGCACAGAGTTTTGAATCCGTCATGTCAGGGTAACAAGTTTATCACATCTGATGGGATACGTCACATCAGGGAAACCAGATGGACTAATGTGGCTAGACAAAGCAGTTGGAACAGGGATGTTCGGGAAATTGGTTTGCTCAGTGCCACTGTGTCTATCGGAGCAGTATTTCCGATTACCAGGGCTGCATGCATCTGGTTCTGCAAGTTCTCTGGCCTGGAAAGACATCCCGCTTGTATTGCCGATAAAACTTTTGCATGGTCCAGGCTGCGGGGGAGGAAGTAAATGACAGACGCAGAGCACCTGCCTGAACGATGCTGTCCCTGACAGCATCACACATCACTTGGATCTTCAGGTCCCAAACCCGCAGCAGCTCATACTTATTTCATCTCTGGCAAATACCAGGATTGCTAACAACTGGGTGGCTTATGCCTGAATAGGGGCTTTGCCCCCATTAACTTCCTTTAAGTCTCCCCTTTCCTCCCACTCCTCTTGCAGTTTTTCAGCCGTTCCCCTTCAGGCACTTTCCATGGCATGCAATTTTGAAATTCCCGGAACGCGTCTCACGATGGCGCTCCAGGTTTTTTATTATTATTTCTTTCCGTCGCTTACTGATGGGTCTTTCTAGCTGCTATTACTGATTGCACTGTTGTAAGAGCGTCTCTAAATTGGGCCACATTCGCAGTAGCTATAGCTTCCTGGCACTCAGTGAAGTTATACCAGTAGGAAACAGAGTCCCAGGGGGAAATTAAAGGTGCAACAGGGAGGGAGCTGAGGTTGAAAAAACCCAAAACCCAACCCACCTGCATGCGCGTTTCAGAGAACTCATTCTTCCCCTTCTCCCAGACAAAGCGGGGCCTCCTAGTCCCTGCTAGACAAGAAAAATGAACCCGAAGATAAACTGAATTTCCAATTGGCACAAAACACCTTGATGTTTAGCAATCCTGGGGCAAGAACCAGAGCAGTCACTCTCATGGTCCAAATATTAGACCTTCTGCTTGCTTTGTTAGTCAGAGCTAGCGCTCAGATGGCTGTAGATGGACACTCTCCAGGATGGGAGGCCCATAAACTAACCATGGACGGGCCCCCAGAGATGTTAATTTTAAGCGGTCTCACTCCACCCATGGTTTTGTCATGTTGTAAAGTGAACCTTGTCTCGCAAAGGCGTGGTAGTTTCCCTACAGGGTAAGCTTTCCGTGCCGCTGGGAAGTCAAGACTACTGCATGCATGTTGCAATAGGGGATAAGAGTGGTGATGCTGCTCCTTGAAAATTCATGTTGTCTTTCATTTAGGCCGGCGTGAATTTCTAACCCTGGCTGTTTAATTCATCTCATGGGCTTTGTTTCATTCCACTAGACTGCGGTATTATTTTGCCCACTTGCAATAGTTGTGGGCACGTAGCTGTGTATGCTTTGAGAGTGTGCACAGACACATGCCAGGTGTGTATAACCTATCTATATATACACATACGCACACCACCACTTGAAACAAGAGGCAGGGAATGGCTGCTTATGGTGCTATAGATATTTATTGTTAACCATGCAAGGAATGACATGCCATTTCAGGACCAATAACCTCCACCTTTGCAGTCAGGTGTCTTTGAAATAAAGTAGAAGGGGGCCCTGGCCAACACTTAGGTCTCTCTAATCCAGAGCCTACAGGGGGTGACGGAGATGACAACCTTCTCCAGATGTTGGGTCTGAGCGTGAGAGGCAGCCAGCGACGTGCAAGTCGTCTTGACCGTTCTTGCGGTCTTTGGCAAGCCCCTGGACCTGTCTCTGTCAGCTCTCCCACCTCTCCCAAGGGTCAGTGACACTTCCCTATCTCACAGGGGTGTTGTGAAGATTAATGAATTCATGCTTGCAAAGAGCTTTGGAGACTGTAAGTGCTGAAATGTTATATGATCAACCCCCCCCATACTTAGCACAGCAAAAGATACCGTGCACGTGCTGCAAGAAGAGGGTTGGAAGTGATCGGTGTTGCCTGGAGGGTGGGTCAGAACCTCAGGGGGTTGCATGTTCCCAGGGATGCCCTTGTTCTCTTCTGGATACGGTTTGGGTGTAAATGCCATTGGCCTTGTGCAGGGTGCACTCCACACACGACACCGTGTGTGCTATCTTCCTTCTTTCCAAATAGACAGCTCAATAAATAAACCGTAACGGTGTTATGAATGGACTTCCCATCACTCTAACAGAGCCTTGTCTGGTTCCTTTAGGTCTACCACATGCATTTCATTGTCAACTTGAGGTTGTTGTTGTGCAAAAGAAGTGAATATGAAAAAAAAAAAAGAAATAAACTTGGTATGAAACCACATGCCTCCATTTCTCTCTATACACTGATGCTTTAATCCAAGGCTTATGCCTGGCTTGGGAAAATAATAATAATAATATTAATAAACAACTCTCATCTGAACAAAGCAAGTGGCCTCCGATAAAGAACACAATCTAGGTCCTTGCAGAGCCAAATGGGTAATTATTGTCCAGCAAAAAGTCATGCCACTAATCTGTAAATCAACCCTATTCTCCAGGAAAAAAACAACAGCTGAAGGCAGGTAACACTGTTATTGCACCTCACCTTTGATGATGTGAGCAGCTCAAAGCCTTTCATAGGAGAAGGACCAAAAAGGCATGCCAAGAGCAGCATGAGAAACTTATGGGTTTAGCAAAAGTCATTTTTACTTTTTATCTATCTATCTACACACTTTTAAAAAGTTTTTATAAGAAGTTTTTACTTGAGACATATATATATATAGATCTATATCTATCTATCTATATGTTTGTCTTTGTGTGTGTATATAAATATGTGCGTGTATCTCAAGTAAATATGTATGTAAAAGTAGTTTTAACTTTATATACATATATATGTATGCGTGCATACACACACACACACACACACATATATGTAGATGTAAAAGCTATTTCTTTCAAAAACTTTTTAAAAGTAAAAATTGACTATATATAAAACTCGGCCTCATTCCAAATTGTTGCTCTCTCTGCTTCATTAAATCTCCTTGGAAAAGGCACCACTGCTCTGGGGTGAAGGCCCAAGGCCACGGGGAGTCTCCTGCTCTCCAAAGGATTTGAAAGTGGGCAACATTTTGTTTCAAGCAGCCACTGGGGATTTTTGCAAGCCAGCTCCTGAACTGAAAGTCAAGTGGATGGCAGTTCAACCCCACTGCCACGGGCACGGGAGAGCTGAGCACTGATGTCAGACCTAGCGCATTCCCCACTCTCAGGATCCTATGGCACAGGTGAGGGTGCAGAAACATCTAGAAATAAGCAACAGGCAATAGTGTCGGGATTTTTAATCCACATAGTACCGCCATTTGGATGAAGGCATCTTACCTACTTCCTCTGGAAGCTCTAAAAATGTCACCCCATATCCCCTTTTGCTTGATTGGACGAGTTTTTGACCAACAGACCATTTGCCAAAATTCACAATCCTACTCTCTCTTGGCTCCTTTGCAAGGAAACTTCTTTAAGAATGAAAGAAAAAAAGCCTCTCCCCACCCCATTGCAAGAGATTCTGACAGGAGCAAGATCCAAGACTCACACCTCTGGATCTGTAGCAGATCTTACCTGCCCTGTCCCTGCATCCTCCCAAGAGATAACTCGACCACACGGCCGAATAAGAAGTTCTTTTGCACAAACTACTTATTGTTAACCAGGCCAGATAACTATTCAAGGAGGGATCGTAACATAAATAGAAGGGAGAGGGCAGGGGAGAAGGGATTCACTGAATAGCTATAGGAAACCATCAAAGGGGAAACCCCAACAAGCGATTCTGGCTGCCTCTATTCCAGGGCTTTTTTTCAGAAAGGGCTAAGCTCTTCCCACTTGAAACTCAGGCTTTTTCAGGTCATGTCACATTAAGGACTCCAACCTGGTAGCTCCTTCTGCCACTCTTGGACACCACACATGCCAAACGACCTGCTTGAGGAGATCCAGAAATGGCAGAAAAGGGAAAAAACAACCCCAGCAAGTGGGAGGCTTTGCCGGGTGGCTGAAAGAAACCCTTGGAGGAGTTTCCAGTCGCATCACGCTCGGGGGGTCTGATGGTTTGACTGCTTAAAGGAGTTCCCAGCCTACTTGTTCGAGGACACACGTCCAACACTGGTGTAGTTGTCCGGCAGCCCAAAAGCGGCTCCTTGATTCAGACTGACACTAGCTTCCATAAAGCTGCATCCATAACTGATGCTTTCTGACACCTGGGAGACTGTGCCACCGTGGCGGATTCAGACCTAGCACCACAGGCATGTTTTTGCCATCTCCGAGCTGGACTACAGCAATATCTCATAGCTCAGCATGAAACCTTAAGGGAGCGCGGTCTCATGGAGAATGCCCTTCCCTCAGCAACAGGGACTGTCGCAATCACATCGTGGCCCCGCTGGTGCCTTCCCACAGGCAACTCCATAGTGCCTGTCCTTATCCACCAGGCATTGCAGCCTGATCCTGCCGGCATCCCGATACCTGCAGGATGGGCCAAAGCTCAGGAATCGCTGACAAATCCACGCCGCAGGCACGGGGGAGCTGTCCATCACAGAGGTAGAAAAGCAAGCTCCCAGGTCAGGAGAAAAGGTTGAATCAGGCAGCGGGACGAGTTCCTGCAGAGCCCCGAACTGCCTCAGACCCAACCCCTCCCTAGCCCAAAGGCAAAGCTGACTTTTGCAACCAGGCCTGCAATAACAAACACGTCGCCCAGCGAACGTGAGACAAGAGGATTTAAAAAATGATAATTAAAAACACATAATTCTCCCTTTGGAAAGGAGAGAACCACCCCTGAGAAACGCATGTCATGCAGAAGGCAGGGCAGACTTGCACCTTGGAGACCAACAGGTACTGCAGAAGGTGGGACTCTCTCCTGCTTTGACTTCAGACCAAGGGGGTAATTTTGGAGGCTCCAAGTAGCTGTCAAGAGTTACCAGCCAGTAGGGAACTGCAGCAGCCCCGCTCACACCGATGGAGCAGAGGCAGGCTGGAGCACGTGTGCGCTGCCAGCCCGCCTCCTCCGGCGCAGGCGCAGTGCAGCGCAGCCGGGACCTATTTCACGCCCTTCCTCTCCCTGCCAAAAAACTCC